ATATGGATTTGAGAGTCCATGTAAGGACAAAAAAGTTGAATGCATGTCCACACGACTCGACTGGCTTTGCTGATTGTTTTGTCCAGTTTGGAATTGCAACTAATTCTCTTATTAAGGGTAACTTCAAGACATTAAGTTATTGAAGCACTCTCCAATTATGTAAATGTAACTAAGGTTACATTTATATTTATTATGCTGAGGCCCTCACTGGCGCAGCATTTTGATATCAGACGCTGATCTGTAGTCATAACGTCTCAGTTTATTAAGATAATTACCACCAGCTCATAATCGGACTCCTGTAGTTTGGTTATGAGTACCTCAATGACGAGCGACTAAAGAAAGGATTACCCTGCGATTATTTTCCCCCAAGGGGGTGAAAAAACGAGATCGCAAAATTTTGAGCCGTTGTGATCGGTGAACTGGAAGTCAACACACAAACAACACGCAGTACGACAAAGAGCATAGAGGCCGAGCCATCAAATTAATAATGAAACATCCGATTTCCTTTACTACAACGTTGGTGGCAGATTTAGCACTTAACTTATTAAACAGCAAAATAAAATTGATTTCAAGTCTCATTTGTATGCCGTAGCTATTTTTATTGTCTTGAAATTTTATAATTTCGCTACTTGTGTATAAGTATATATGCATGTACATATGTACGCTTACGTACGTACCCTCCAGGAAATGTATCTAACTTGAAGTTAACTTGAAGGTGATTAGGAGGGAACTAAAGGTTTGCTATTAGCTGTGTGTTTTCTTTGAAAAAATCTAACTAAATTTCTATAGCAATGGCCGCGAAATAGTCAAGACTGGTTACCTCTGCATTAGATGCCAACTAACTTGTAATAAACTACTTTTCCACATAAAATATCACTATGAAAAACTATATATTTTTAAAATTTTTCTACTTGCTTATTTATTTACTTTATTTAACATTACATATTTGTTTAGATATTCTGCTGTAGGTCCCATATTCGAACTCCGTCAGACATTGCTTCAAAATGATAACAAAAAATTTCGATCTTCATTTTATTCGTCCTCAATTCGAAAAAGTATTTGTGAAGTGCAGAAAGAAAGAGTATTCAAAGTAAAATTTTTATGAGGATATTCAAATATAAACTTTTTAAAGAAAACAATATCCCTAGTCTAGTTTCAAAACTTTTTGTACTTAACTACGAGTTATATATTTTATAGAAATCCCGCAAAAAAAGCTAACTACAGGTGCGTTACTTTTTAACAATAGATCTTTTTTTTTTCTGCAGGGTACGCAGATGGGTACAGGTAAATATGTGTATGTTCTTCTGCTTATCAGTAATTTTTCCCTTTGTCTCTATTGTTTTTGCGAATCGGTTCATCAAATGTCGGACGCTGATTGTATTTAGAAATTAAGTTTTGAAAACATTAATAAAGAGATTCTATGTATAGCTGATCAGTAGTGCGTGCCAATTAGCGTGATTGAATCGGTTTTTTGAATATGTATTTTTAATAAGTTTTTTTTTTTTAATCTTTATTTTTCCAATACCGAGTAAACCGGATTTATACAAACGGAGTTTATTCACAGGAAGGTAAATATTTATTTTATTGCAAATGGAATTAGGCTGATGTTTTTTTATTGAATTTAGCCAATTTAGTTTTTATTACGACAGCACCCAAACATGACAAAGTTCCATAACACCACGTAGCTTGTTAGTTTATTTATAAACGGCGATAAGAAGAAGCGCGGTTTGACGTAAAAAATTGTACGGAAAATCTTAATTTGTAAGAAAGTAGAAGTGCAAAATCGCTATGTAACAGCCACTATCAGCATGTCTTAAATATCACGTGCTATAATAAATTATTTGTTGATTTTATTTATTCAGCTCTCTGATAAGCCGTGTTCGAACATCATGCATATATAGTATGTATGTATGTATATGTATTGGTAAATATATATGTATGTGCATGACTCTAGTCATAGCGGGTTAATCAACTATTTTCGTTTTTAATGTTGCTGATTTAATAACTGTACGCAGCATGTTTATGCTAAAATGTATTATTAGTCTTCAATTAAGCTTAAAATATTATTTAAAGTATTATTTTTCAAATTAATTTTTTTATTGTTTTTAAAAATGATCGGCATAGCGTCGGCATAGTCCCTGTGTGGCTGATAAGCAACATCGCATTTTAATTCAATCTGACCTCGGCTCTCATAATGGAAAGTTTTGGGGGGTTTGCTTTGCAAAATGTTTTGATATTTCATCATCCGTTATATTATTTAGCTTTTGTTGTGCGGGCAAAATTAAACTTTCACTATCCAATGCATTAGCATCTTTTGATTTGAGAAATTTTGTGTACCGTGTAAACCCTAATTGAATTATAAGTGGGCGGTGCACAACGACTTCAGTAGATAGTAAATAATATAACATGGGGTTTGATTATTATTATTTTTTTTTTTAGGAAAGCACTATATGGAAGTTTGACATAGTTATAGTGTGATTTGGCCGATTTTCAATAATTAACTACTTTAGAAAAATATTGAAATTCCCCCCAAACTTTCGTAAAGATATCTCAATTTTTATTTCAGTTATTCATTGCACAACCTGCCATATATAGTCCACCGGGTGTTTATCTCCTCGATGAGTTCGGCCTTTAATTTGTGTTTGCAGGAGGTTAGAAATCGCCTATCCAGTTACCAGGAATGACTTTGTGTCCAGGGACAAATGAAACAGTCAAGGAGCATTTTGATAACAGCAGGTTTAGAATCCTTCTGCATTCTGTGGCAACTTTTTACGTTATTCCGTTAGATTTTAGCAGCTTGGCCGTCAGAATATATAGTGATATGCCGGCCTGGAGAGGCGGAAGTAAGCGTTTACCTCTGCTCTACACTATTATGAAGCTTTTATTGTTCAAACAAAGTAGAGGGCTGGTATCATCTAGTTGTCGTAGATTATTCGCGTGCCCATATCTGATAGCTTTCTATGGCTGGATCACATTTAACCCGGCTGCCAGACATTTCCGCAGAGATCCATCGGTGGAAGATTTAATATTACTTCAAGAGATTTGGTGGGTGTAGTGTGTAGTGCTCTCGTGACAAGCATAGAAGTTGTCCTCTGTACCCGTTCCACAATCGGGCTATGGGTAATTTTGCCCATTTTCGTGTCCAAAATTAATTATGGCCACACCAGTAAATTTTTAACACAATAAGTTTTTCATTAAAAACGGCCTCAAGCTCATTAAAAATTGTTGAATATAATTGTTATAAGGCCATAAAAAAAGTTAACCATTCTAAAAATAGAATTATTAGCAAAAACCAACAAACCCAACAACCACATGATCAGGTGAATTGCAGCGGAATAGCTGCGCTTGATTGTGTTGGCATAACAAATGAAAAAGTGGGAAAAAAGCAACGATAATTTACAAGGCGAACTTAGCACAGTGCGTTGGCAACTGGCTGAGTCAGTGGAATCGTCGGTTCGATGCCTACTGAAAGAAGTCTGATGAGGAACAAGCTCATTAAAAATTGTTGAATCACAATTTTAAAATAAAACTTTCTTAACCATTTCAGTACAAAAATTCAATCACTGATTCTAAAAATTTTAAAATATCTATACCGGCTAATTTCGAACGTTCATATCAAAAATCACATCACACATTTTTATAAAGTTTCGAGTTTTACCGTCATTCAGGGTCCTAGATGTTTAAAAAAGAAAGTGTTGTCAGCTAATTTTTATTTTTTCTTTCTTGAAATGTATTTCAAAACTATGAATAGATTACACTCTTCACTATCGACTTTTCTGCCACTTTTTACTTTTGTGACAAACACGTTCAACTGCAATTGCAGCTTGCACTTTAATCTGATATATAACTCAATTCTGTAGCTGCTTCAGATCGGCCCAATTAAGTCGTACGACTGAGTAGTTAAATATATATAAATTTGTCTTCATCTGCATAATCAAGTTAAATATTATACAAGGATTGCTCCAAATCAGGTTCTCATAATTTTTCTGAGTCCTTACAGAGTAAAGGATATTTCTGTGATATGTGTTTTTAACGTCTTTCTGGAGAGTATTTGTGGCATCGTGCGGTCATTTTAAACTAATAGCAAAACAAATTAAGCTGAATCCGCCTGCGTCCCTGTCGTTAATCTTACATAAACTGAACGCTTGCCTGCAGATCTTATTTGAAATTTTATTGGATAGCATTTGCTAGTCTTTAAAAGTCGGATGACATTTACCATATCCGCCCCTAGTTTGGTGTGGGTGGCATTTCGCTAAATTCAACATTGATGATGAAGATGATAATCTGTATTCATTACTAGGACTCCATGTAACAATTTTCACCAAAAGCGAACCACACTTGCTACTTTTTGCCACAAATCATTTGACTATCTTCAAAAATTTTCGGGTTTTTCGCCAAATAAAATGATCTAGAGGGGTTAAGTAAGGTTAGTTTGAAGTCTATATATATATATATATATATATATTGTTAGTAAAAACAACAGCCAGTTTAAGGCTGTCAACGGCAAAAGACATTTAACTTTCTCACTTTCACAAGAACAGCAAACATAATTGCCACTCAGTTTTCTACTTACAGCAATCATTTCTATTTATGTACATTAGACTGCATCACTAAAAATAAGTTGCGGCTTTTCCGCCAGGATTACAAAATGTATTATATTTTAGGAGGTCCACAAAAATGTTTACGTGAGCTGGACCGATTTGAAAATACCTCCAAAAATGGAGGTTTTTATGAATCCAAATAGTTTCTTAAAGAACTTTTTGAAAAAATGCCCTCATAGGACAAAACAAATTAAGCTTAAAAAATCTGCATAAAAATATTGAAAAATCTTTAAACTAACTCTGTTTTAAAACTACTCTGATTTAGACTTGTATGGTCTCAGTAGAAAGGCATTTTTCCACTCTTTTTATTTCTGTGCACATAAAAGCTCATTCACGTCCCAATTTTTTTCCTACCTGCATAACCTTAACTAAGTTTTTGTTTCTATTTCTAAATTGCAGATGAAAGAGCAACTATGCAAATAGAACGCTTGGAAGCTAGCAGCAAAAAGCACTAAGCTTGAAGGAGTGAAAGGACTACATCAAAAGACAAACACACAACAGTAGTCAAATAGATTTGCTGAAAAGTGCTGACATACATACATACAATAATACATATTTACATACATTAATATTAGCAATGATAACTTGGCAAAAAGTCAAGTCAAGCAGAGAGCTGTGATTGCATTTTGAATGGTTAGAAGAAGGAGCTGAACAATCGCTGATCGATAATAGAGACACAGAAGTGCAAATTGCATGCCAGCAACACGCAAAATAAATTTATTTGATTTGTTCGTTGATTTAGTGGTGCAATTTGAAATTTGTCGTTGGGAAAATATTCGACAGACTGAAAAGCGTATATTAACACAGGAAGCTTCCTTTGCACATTTACCAACTGTAATTTGTCCCGCTTCAGCTGAAAGCTGTGCTCTACATTCCTTTATTTAGTTGATTTCGCATATAAATAATTTTTATCCAACACAAAAATGGTACATGCACCAGCGCGCAAAAATAAAACTACAAATGGCAATTGTGATTTGGTGGAGGATGTGCTGACGCCGGTGCCACCAGATGGTGGTTGGGGTTGGATGGTCGTCTTCGGATCCTTTATGATACATATTATAAGTGAGTATAAATAAAATTTTGTAAATAGCATACAAATTAGGCAGTACATATTTTGTGTTTAATGTAATCCATGCATCGGTGTGGTCAGGGCGTATGAGTTACTTGAAATTGTCGCTAGACAAATAATCAACCTTGACTATTTTTCAATAAATTTGCGCCTAAAGATATGTCGATTAGATTTGTCTGTATTTGCTAAATTTGTTGTGCATTTTTAAAGGGCCTAAAATTAAATTTTTGTAGCATAGTTTAGGCGCAAATTTAATGACAAATAGTCAAGCTTGACAATTTGTAAAGCGCACAGAATTGGGCGGTAAGTCCCAATTTACGTAATTCAAGTACTTGAAAGCTTCATTTGGTTTCATTCTCTTTTAGTTTTTCTGTGTTTTACACACTTTAATTTTTATTGAACTAAAGTTTTTGGTTCTTTACTTCATTTTAATGCGTGGAAATGTCAGACTATGAAAATTGTCAAAAGCGGGAAACGAAAGTTGACGGTACAGAGCTGTATGTATTCTTCCTCTCCCTTCTCACCCTTCTCGCCTAATAACTCATAGACTTCAAAATTGGAGTTGAAACATGTAAAAGCAGACTAAGAGCATTTAGTTTACAATTTTTTTTTTTTGTGAAATAAGCGCTCATTGATTACAAAGCCTCATTTTAGACGCCAGATAGTAGAACTTATTTATTTAATTGATTTAATGCTACTTTGTTTACTCCTCGCTTGCATTTTTCCTTCCTGAAATATTTAACACCGTAATACGCTTGTAATCGCTGAGTAAATCGCATTATAGTGCGTATATATTTCTATTTACTTGCACTACTTCGCCGCATTTATGTTTCTTATTTGCCTTCCTTTCATTTTCTGTTGCACGACCGATTGCAGTTTTCAGTTAATTGTGTCATTGAGAAGTGTACATAAAAAAAATATATTTTTATTTTGTTTCAAGCTTAGAAAAATATGTAATGATTCATATTGCATGGAGGCCGTTTAGCTTCCGTTATTTGTTAATGTGTGTTTATGTACCCAAGCCAATCATCTGATCGAACCGCCACTGGATAGCATATTAAAATATGTTGAACTTTGGTTTGTTTCTACAATAATAAAAAAAAAATCCCGAATTGTTTGCATCAAGGCTGTATAGAAAATTCTTAGATCTCTAGTACGATGGGAGTTACTTGTGCATGACTATCGACTTCAAATTTTCATGACGGCGGAGCGTAGAAAACAAAGTACAAAAAAAGACCTGCAACACTTACAAATGGATCTTTGAAAAAAACTGGGTCGTATCGTCGGTACGTCATCGATGAAATATGCACCACAATTATTTGACACTCATAACTTATGTGTATATGCAACTAACTGGCTGTAAAACATTTAATGATGGGCTCGGTAAACGGGCTGTCTGGAAAAAGTTGTATCATGGAAAGGAGATGATCTAGATGGCTTCTGGAGTGCAAAGAAGTATACTCAACTTCAAGAAAGTAACATGTCGTCACTCGAAAAGCAAAAAGACGTAACAAACATCGTCGTAAAAAGTTCAAAATTCACCCTTTGATCGATATGATGGATTTCATTGAATTACAGCTCCCCACATCGTTTTATAAAAAAATTGTTAGTCACAAATTTATGCCATGAAAAAAGCTTCTAATTAAAACCACCTGCCATTCGTAGGCGGTGTAAAACTGTAGGTCCCTCCTCTTTGTGTGACAACATCCAGACGCACACTACAAATCGAAGGAGAAGCTCGGTATATACATAACACGTCCTAAATTAAAAACAGTCGCAACTTAAACAAGTAAGAGCAGCGCTGTCTTCGGCTATGCCGAAGGCTTCATACCTTTCATGAACATCTGCAAATTTTACTTTGATAGATTACTGCTTTTGAATTCATCTGCATACATCGATAGAGGAGTTACATACTTATATAAAAAATCGCATCTAAACAATCAGAGGTATGGAAGATATACTTTATATGACACCAATCTAAGTGATTTTCACCGCTATGTGATCGGTATGTAAACCGGTAACACAATTTATTGGGTTTAGTTTCGTACATAAAG